TATATATATATATATATATATATATATATATATATATATATATATATATATATATATATATATATATATATAAGGGGTGTGCATTGGCTCTGACCTCAAGATTCAATTCGATTACGATTCACCAGGTAACGATTCGATTCAATTTGATTCTACGATGCATCAAATTCCCATTGACTTCGTAAAATCCGAAATGTGCCTACATATCCGCTTTCCAAGCTTTTGGTGCGTTTTTAATTGGGCCTACCCATCTATCGCGGTCAGCTCCCTCCGCCTCAGCCATCTTGATTGTTGTTGGTATGCCCCTGGAAGTAATTGAAACTTCACAACTTGTCCATTTGAGGCCAGAAAGTAAACAGTGACATAATCGATTATGGCACGTTGCCGCATCGATGCTGAATCGTGCATGCCCTGCATTGCTGAATCGATTATTGTTGACACCCTTAATATATATACATACATATACACACACACACACATACCCATATAAATACCCTGTGCAATAACCCTCCATAATAATCCAGCTATAAAACAAGAAAAAAAGCTGTCATGTGGAAGCACTGTATATATCATGCAGCTTTTTGTTTCTTTGGCACGTGCTTTTTGACTATTTGAGCTAATGTAACGAGTAACCTCCTCCACTGTGAGATCATAAAGTCAAATAAATGAATTTATGAAGGACATTTGTTAGTCAACTTGAAGCTTCAAGACCAAAAGTAAAGCATGGTGGTTTTAGCATAACGCTTATGGTTTATTTTGCCATTTGTTCCACTGTTGTACTGCACAAATAGTAAATGGCCTATACTTTTGACTACTTTATGGCTACATTCACACTGCAGGCCTTGATGCTCAATTCCGACTTTTTTGTGAAATCCGATATTTTTGTTGTTGCTGTTCAAATTTCCAAATTTATGCGAATTATATGTGATCTCTTGTGTGAACTGCAGTCATACAACGCGTGTCCGCGTGTTGTTTTTCTTGCTGCTTCTTCATAGCAAGACCCAGAGTAGTGACCTTTGTTGGCTTTGAGGTCTGGCCATTCAGACACAAGTCGCATTTGAAAAAATCAGATTCGTATCGAATTTAGGACCACATAGCAAAGTGGCATGGGTAGCATTGGGGGGAAGAAGAGAGGGAAAAAAAAAACAACAAACAAAAAAATCGGATCTGTTTTGTTCAGATTGCCAAGAAAAAATCATATCCAAGTCGCATATGGGCCAAAAAATCGTATTTGGGTCACTTCAGGCTGCAGTGTGAACGTAGCCAATGCCTCAAAGTGCTGCACACTACATTTAGTTATCGCCAATGGTGGTGAGCTACATTGGAGCAACAACTGATCTGGGGCAGAATGAGAAGAAAGGCAGCTATAACACCTGCATCACTGGGCCTCTTGACTCCAACAGTAGGCAAGATGGGGTGGGGTGCCTTGCTCAATTTCCAGAACCAAACTGGTTTGCATGTCTTAACTTTTCCGCATCAAGTTTTGTAGATCACCGGCAACAAGCTTACCTACTGCTTGTGAGAAGGAAAAAAAAATGTCAATAAAATAGTTGCATGTGCAATTAAGCGCCCCTTATTCTGAATATTTAAAGATAAGGTGCTAAATGTATCTCAAGACAACAGTGAGATAGTTGAATCCTGGGAAGCTCAGTTTATACATCTGGACAGTCATGCCTAATACTTGTCCAATGTAGAGTTTAATAATGCAGAATAGAATGATGCATTTTCTATACGACCAAACATTAACGGTTATTAAATAAAATTTCAATGGGATACAGAACCACCTTCGTAGCTCTATTAGGAGTGGTCTCTTGTTCAGCCAAAAACAGGCCAGAATGTCATAGATGTTGTAGCCTGACGTAGTCCGACTCAATTCTAGGCAGAATATGAGTCTGATACTGCTCCATAGAGCTGTGATTATGGGGCGTGTTTTGAACGGACCAGGAAAAAAAATGCCTCTGCACTCAATTGGATAGACCTACAACCAATAAGAGCAACGGAGTGCGTGACGTATGTTAAGCGAGGCATAGTTGTTGTCCACAAAAATCAAAGCGTGCAGTTATTATAGTAAAATAAGAAGATGAGACTTGATGGCGTTTCTCTGTTCCTCTTTTAAAATTAATTTGCTGTCGATATCTTCTAGAACAGACCTAATAGCAGAATCTACTCACCTAAACTCTCCAGCGGCAGCCATTATTTTTGTCACCCAAGCGTGCATTGGTCACGTGGTTGATTACGTTACTGTTGGTAATCTGTCCATCATCGTATAAAGCCCGCCCTGACAATTTGATTGGATCGCCTGACAGTGGGCGATAATACTCGCGCTACTATGGAGCAGAGCCAGACCGAACTTCCCGACCTCAAACTTTGTGGGCGGGACTAAGTTCGGAATGGCACCCAGGCTATAGATGTTGACCAAAACCAAAGAAATAAAAAAATTATCTGGTTCTCTGCAGCCTGCAAATAAGGTTTCAAATCATTTTAACACTTTTGGCAATAAATCTTTTCCTCACCGCAGAGTAGAAAGTTTATATTCCTCTACAAACATGATAACTCTTTTTGGGATGGTACTCGTAAACCTGTCCAAAACCTCTGCCAGTGGAAGCTTACCCTGCCAACGTGATCCCTCGTATAAAGATAGGGTAAACAAGGAACGGTGGAAATGTAATCATTTATTAATTTGGCAGAAACTGCTTTAATACAGTGGAGTATATTGAACAGAACTAGCAGGAATTTCCTCTTCATGCCAAACCCATCAGCTTGATTACTCACTGTGGTGAGATCAATGTGGTCATGTTGGTCTCTCAGTCACAGACAGGCTTTGTTTTTGTTTTGTTAAACTCTTAGGAAGGTCTTCCCATCATTTCCATTCCTAATGCTCTGCTGAAGTGGGCATCTTAGAGGACAGCGTTTGGGCCCCAGGAGCAGAGATACAGGATTTCCACTGGTTATCTTAATATCTCTGCCCCAACAAAGATTTTATCCTATGATAAGGAGCATTGGTCTTGTTTCAAATGAAAATACTGGCAGAGAGGGTTTCTCTCAACTCTACTGATTAAAAATCACAACACCTATTTTTTATTTTTTAAAATCATGTTTATTAAATTTAGAAAACATCGTTTCTTGAACAGTTTCATACCAACAGCAGGAAAGAGCTGAAACTGTAAGAGACGCAGATGGGGCCCGGGCCAACCCCTGAGTTAAAAACCATCAGTTCTGGAGCTCTTCTACCACTGCTGCTGCCTGGGGTCACCTGTAATTCAACCTGGCATAGCGTAGAAGAGAGTCACAATGTAGTCAACATCTCAAGGTCGAACAGCAAAAGAAATGGGACGTAAGAAAACTCTGTGGACATCAGGTAGAAAAGTTGATTTGCAAAGTCAAGTTTCAAGTCAAGGTATTTCCTGCCAAAAAATACTGAGTACGCAACATTGACATGTAATTAGGTTGCCAAGCCATGTCCTATGTAGACTTAACCACTCAGGGAGAGCTTCCTGCACAGTTTTAGGGGATGAGGACTCGGCTACGCCGAACAGATGTCTGAGAAAGAAGTGCAAACAAAGTCTAAAAGGAGTGTTTATTGAAAAGGTTGCATGGGGAAGGTTAACGGGCGTTTGAACATAGCAGAGCCTCCCCCTCGTTATTTATCAAGGTGCTGAGAGGGGCGACTCTCTGGAGGGCGAGCCTGAGATATCCTCAGGAGGGAAAACTGTGAGTGTACAGGCTCGGATCCCGCCTAGCGACTCCGGCAAGTCAAACACCTTCTGCCACTCGTCTTTTTCTGGGTCGTATTTCTGTACTATTTCCACCATGCAGCGATTGTTCCAGGAGTAGCCGCCCACCACGTAGATCTTGTTCTCAAACACGGCCACGCCCACATCGCTTTGACCTCGCAGCATGGGGGCAATGGGCGTCCACAGGTCAAGGGCGGGGGAGTAGTATTCGCAACTGAGGACGTCGTCGTAGTCGCTTGTGCCGCGGAAGTGATTGCCCCCTATTACGTACAGCCGGTCGCCCACCGTGCACATGCAGTGGAGGCCGCGCACCGTCGTCATGGGGGCCTTCTGAGTCCATTTATCTGCATCTGGGTCAAAGCACATCAGCTCCTTCTGGAAAGTGTCATGAGTGATACCTCCTGCAGCAAAAAAAGAGAAAAAAAAACAAAAAACATTAGTATTCCAAACAGCTTGGAGAAAACCATTTATGGCCTTGTCAATCAGATTTGTGAGTCATTGACTATATAATGATCTTTCTAGGCCATGCTGAGCACCAGCCATAATGCTGCCCTGGGCTCCACATTTTTAAAACTCATCATTCAGCGATCCCTGAATTGCAAATTTAGCCAATAAACAGATTAAACACTAATTAAACAAACCAGAGCAACATCAGTGGTTGCTCAGCTTCTTTTTTGTTACGATCATTGAAAGCACTCGACACAAAGCGGCGAGTCTTTACAAAGCCCTTGTTGCCATATGCACAAACAGACGGGAGACGCCGGGACACAAAAAGCTGATGAAAAAAAATAACAGGGAGGGGAAAGAAAAAAAAAATATACAGGACATGTCTACAGGGAAGGCTTAAAATAAAGAGGAACACAATCCCAGCATGCATTTGGGTAGGAGCCAGCTCACCCCTCCCTCCCCCACACACAGGCGGAGTAACTGGGAACAAATGCAGGGAGGGATTTGTGGAACGTGCCATGAACAGGCCGCCTAGTGATTGTGTGCTGGGTTCATTGTTCGGTTTAATCGGTGTATTCAGCTGCCATGACTCAGATCTGTGATGCTGCACCTTCTTAACTGATCAAATGAAGAGATAGCATGACTGCTTTATCCTCCAACGGTAAGGAGCCATTATAAATTCTGACAAGGGGGGAAAAAAAAGAAAAAGCTTTAGTTAACTCTGGATCCATGTAATTCCTCCTAAGGGGGTTTGTTACTATTTTGATCCAGTTTAAAGGGTTTGGCCTTTCCTGAAACGGGGCCGTCTGATCAGGATTCCAGTGTTTCAATGCTTAATCAGCAGCAGAGAAACAAAAAATGATCACATCTATCAGATGTAAACTAAAAGCCTCTCTTCCTCATAAGCTGCCTCAGGACGGATGCTTACGGTTTGCGTTTCATGCCATGCGAGCCCATATGCTTCAAGTTCGAATCACTTCCCTGAGCAGCCATGTGGATGCTGAGTAACAGCAGAGTCATTTTGTACAAGCAGTGACCTGGATGAATGAGTGCCAGCACACGCGGGACTGGAGCGGATAACAGAGGACGAACAGAGATGAGGAAACTAATGCAGGACTGCTTCCACAAACGCCTAATAACAAGCGCAGGTGTCGGGAGTTCATATCCTGCATAAATATCGCCCACAGACGATCTGCACTCGTCTCTGAAGTGAAATCCCTCAATGGTGACTGGCAGAGGTACAGTAATTATTGATCAGTCTTACTACAGGACTACCATAACCCACTCTTTGGCATTTATGTTGCATAAAAGCAGCCTGGGCTAAGAATAAAGAATAAGGCTGTGGAAAAAAACAAGATTTTCATTTTTTTAAACTGTCAAAAAAAAGAGAAATCTGTTTGATTTACATAATTTACAGATTGTTCTAATGTAAATCATTCCAATAAGGTTTACTTATTTAAACTAGGATCATTTCTTTTACTGAAGGGAAAGAACTGTCCAACCCAGTCACTCCACATGTAAAGCACTCTCGGCTCCTCTGTAGGTAAATTAGTGTCACAGCCACACCGAGACAAAGCTATCACTATACAGAAACACATCAATACATTTCTGTTTCTTTGTTATTCTTCAAAAATACCAATTTGACAAATATCTTAAGGCAAACATATATTTGATTAAACTTTATTGATGAAGAGAGGAGCTTCCCCTTAGCAATATGTCTGAAATGTTCAGGATAATCTGCAACAACATCCTTTCCATAAGTTCTGCTGCTATGTCAATTTTTACAGCCTTTGAAGGTTTCAGACTGAAGAATGCAAGCTTTAAAAAAAAAAAAGCAAAAAAAACCCATCAAAAAATACTTTTGTTTTTTTGAAAGTACCTCTTGTAGTCTTAACTTAAAAGAAACCAAGTAATTGGCCTGGGACCCAAATCAACATCCACTTACTAGTTAGAAACAAAACAGTCCTTTTTCATTCCCCAAATGCACCAGAGGCTTTAATAGAGGTTTTTATTTATCATTTATTTATATATACAGTATATTTATTTTTTTTTATATTTTACAGCCCTAGTGGCTGAGAGAGGGAGAGACCACAGGGCAGATTCGAACCCGGCTCTGCCGTGTTGAGGACTAAGGCCTCCGTACATCTAAAGCTTAAAAAAGGACAAGGTCAAAGAGACTTAAGGGCTGGTTATAATCCCCGCAGCAGTGTGTCGCAGTGAGCTTGTCGCAGATATTTTTGATTTATGCCCAATATCTGCGCTATGGTATTACACGCCACAATGCCAGAGGGACAATCAGGAAATAGCTGTGGGTCTAGATACGGCTGAGGCAGTGAGGGATTGGGGGCAAGTTTGTGCGACAACGGAGGGAGATGAGGGCGAAAAAGATGGGAGATCCAAGTGGAAAAAGGGTCCCAGCATTCTCGCGCAACTCGATCTTCTAGCTGGTCGACCTTCACGACTTGTTTTGCGCAATGGCGGTAATACAAACAAAACAGGGCGGTAAGGAACCAAACAGGAAATACGCAGAGTGTAGAGTGGATGTAGATTTGACCAATCAGAGGCCTCCTGTCTGCGGTCACCTACAATTGTGGAGAGGTGCACCCCAGTGTCTGCAGAGGGGGCGGAGCTACATTTGCGTTCACTGCGACGCACACGTAGGCGACCTGGTTATTGAGTATAAATCAGCCTTAACTTAAGAAATTTGATTACACACAAGCTGATGAGCACCTCAGAACCATGCAGAGCAGGACGACGCTGCTTCACTGAGAAAAAAGTTGCACATTTTTATTTGGTTGATTTGGATTCTTTGTTAACCTTATTTGGACTGGCTACTAATTCAAATGAAATAAAGTAGATGTTTTAGACATTTTAGTTATGACCAATAAGTTCAGAGGGAAAAATAAATGGGAGGAGAGAAAAAAAAAATGTTGACCTCAATCCTCCACCATATTGAACTTTTCACAAAGCCCACGAAAATGGCAAAACGGCATCTTAATCACACCACAATAAAATAGTCATATGAAGACTACCGGGCAATATAAACTGGGAAAAAAATAAAAAAAAATAAAATATGGGTTTACCCTGAAACGGGCAGGAAATAAGACCTGCTGAAAGCTTGAAGGAATGTCCAAATTAAGATACCTCAGTGGCAGCATGATGCTGTGGGATATTCCCAAATGTTTCTAGATGTATAAATGTAAAAAAAAAAAAAAAAAGGAGAGGAAGCTGTGTACAGAAAAAAAGCTCTTCTCCCCCACAAGACCTGTGGCCTCATAGTTTACCTTAAAACATGAAAATCTCCTTAAGTGGCCTCAACCGAGCTCTGACTTGAAGCCAATTAAATATCCATGAGGAGACAAGAAAATGGATGTCTACTGACAGCCCTCGAATGAACTGAAAAAAGCTCAAGGGCATTACGAAAAGGAGCAGAACATAATCCTTAAAACCAGGTGTGTACAGCGAGTCATGTTATTTCATGCCCACAGGGTTCAAAGCAGTAGATGGTGCCTAAGAACCTTCAATCAGTGGAGTGTGAAAACAAAGGTTATGGGTTCAGTGAAACACTGAATCTTGCTTTTAGAAAAAAACAAGTTAAAGAACAGCCGATGAGGTAAAATGTGTTCGTATAGCTCTGCAATTAAGCAGAGAAAGGAGTTTAGTGCTCAGATAAAGTTTAGTACTAATGTCTGAATTCTGCCGAGCCACTCTGCTTGTGATGGCCTGTGGACTGAGCGCTTTTGTCAGGTTCATCCAGCTGACGGGATACCTTCAGACAGCACAGCGGCGCAGACAGAAAAAGTGACCTGATGTATTGTGACAGACTGAGAAGGAGGTGCACCCCAGCATGGGTCACCTTGCATCTCCAGACTGTGACCCCCCCTGAGACAGTAGCAGCTAGTGGGGCCTCACAGCAAACTGTCTTGGACCATTTTTATTAAAGTCAAGTTCTCATCTGAGCGGCTTGGTTCCTATTCAATAACACTTGTAATCAAACAGCTTGTGTTAGGAAATGTATGATTTCTAGGCGGTACAGGTGCAGACCCGACTCTTTCAAACGCAACATTTATTACCAGACTGGCCTAATATCAGCATTACAAAACTGTATTTTCAGCACAGAAGGGATAAAAATAGTAAATGAGAAAAGGACAAAGTACAGCACTGTGTGTGGAGAAAGTCTGTTTCTCTGGAGTTTTCTGCCCTATAAAACAACGAGAATATAATCAATTTTCGTTACTGTATCATCAGCATCTTCTGGTCTTGCTGGCATTACATTTTCCCTTGGTCTTTGGCAAGATATGAAAATGATCCAATTAAAGAAAGCTTATAAAAGCCGTGCTAATAATCATGTACTGAGGTATTAACACCAAATTAAAAGGGCAACATGTTCTGCTAACTTGACTATATTTCTTACTTTTTGTGCCGACGAGGAAACATTGCTGATGACGGAAAATGGGGGAGACAAAAGGAAAATCCAAAATGATAATTGAAACACTGAATTTCTTCCCATCAGCCTTACTTATTCAAACTATCCTGACCCACTCTTCACACCATCAACGATTTTTAATTCAACTGAAGGTAAAGAGAAGGTGGTGACTCTTTAACTGACCTAACTCAGAACGTGACATAATGTTTGGTGGCTGCATTTCTAACTAGCTTGAAAATGTTTAAAATCATCTTGAGCTTATATTTTCCCATCTACTTCAACCATAACAGACTAAATCATCACCCGTTTCAGATCTCTGTGCTGAAAGGAGTCCAATCCGTCATGATTTAAATGTACATCTTAATTAGGGGTGTGCAAAATAATCGTCATGACGATGCATCGCGATTCTAATTTTTGTGATCTACTGCATCGATTCTTGACGCCAAGTATCGATTCTTAATTTAAAAAAAATGAACAAATAAAATACATTAATGGTAGGCACACATCAGCCAAACCAAGTGGAATACAACTTCCATTCCAGCAGATGTCGCTGCGGATGTGCTGACACTATCCAGATCATACCCAGCCAGTCAGCCACTGGTAATGGCTGTATCTTTTTCTTACAGTGTTCAGTGAAAATATCGCAACGCATCGCGGTGCATCGCAATATTTCAAGTATCGTGATGCACCATGATAGAATCACATCGTGGCATGTGAATCGTGATTTGAATCGAATCATGACTTCTTTGCCAATACCCATCCCTAATCTTAATGTTTTTAATTTTATTTTCTCCAACATGAAAATAATGCCAAACTCTTTTGCAGGTGGCTCTGGTTAAAGTTCATTTGGGACAAATTTCTTAAGCTATATTTGTCTTTATGTGCTTTGAAGGAATCAAAAATCTGTTTATTAGTGTTAACGCAGTGAAATCTCTACTAGTTTATTGGTAGAATAATTACCATAGAAACTGAAAGTTGCCTACAATATAGTTTTAAAATTTCTTACAGGTACACCTTTATCTTCCCATGGATTTATGCAGTAACTATACACACTAAGGTGGAGTTGCATGACAGATTTAATGGTTATAGTTTTATTTTAATGATGACAATCTCTCTCCCAACATCAGCTGCTGAGAAAGACGTGGGTGCAGACGTCATGCCCTCCTTTCGGAGGAGACCATGGCAAACAATAAAATAAATCCACAGGGTAAGTAAAAGTTTGGGGTAAATAAACAGAGAGGGAAAAAATGTTCTGGGTCACACTATCGAAACCAAAACTTAACACCAACAAAAACGAGGTGGAGGTGTCATACTTTTATTCTGAACTCCATGCTATACATTTATTTGCAGCACTTGCTATACATGTTTTCATAGGTTTACTTACAAAAAAAAAAAAAAAAAAAACAAACGGAAAAAACCCTGATATCTTCTAAATATTTGATATGGACTTCTAGGATTCACTTACCTGAAATATACATGTAACCACCGTACACCGTCCCAGCATGGCCGTAATGTGGCTCATTCATTTTGGCAACATACGTCCATTCATTTGTCCTTGGGTTGTAGCACTCTACAGTAGCTTTGAAAAAACAAAATACAAAAAAGTATTAGCAGAAAGTAGGTCAAGACGAATCTAAAGAGGACAAACCGAAGCAAATGAGGCCTTGGAGGGTCTCAGTGTGGGATCTAAAACACAGATTTAAATACAGTACACATTCCCTCCAGTGCCGTGTCCGCTGACTGCACAGGAAATTGGAAGATTATTAGATCCTTTATGCTAATGTACCGGGGGGGGATTGGAGAGATCCAAGAACAGGAATGCTGCGATTCAGGAGTGATAATCACAGTCGAGCGATTGGCTGCTTGTTATGACCCTGTAACAAGCAACAAGGGCGCAGCAACACAATTACTTTGTGCTTGAAATAACATCAGAACTAGGCTCAAACCACGTTACAGTCTTTGCCATCAATAGCTCTTCATCATCATGGTTAAACGAACAAGGAGCAGGAGTTTATATCCTGAATATTCTCCAGTTATCAAGTCTGTAGTCAAGGCATTAAAAACTGTTTTACGTGCTGCATTAAGGAAATGAGTAATGGATTAAACACCTCGTTTTTAAACCATAGAGCCAAGGGTAAAACTGAACTGATTAATGTTGTTCAGAGACAACGGCAGATACCAGGTGAATTATGAGAGCAGGAAACAAAACTTAAAAGATTCTGTGTAATCATATTTAAAGATAAATAAATCTCATGTAGAAAGTAGATTCAAGTAAAGGTGAGGAGAAATAACAGCTCAGTGGCTTCAATTGTTATCCATATTCATCATTATCTATTCTAATTCAAGCCTTGAAAGCCAGATTTCAATGAAATGACGATAATGGAAGTACAGCAAAAAACATGTTTGTTCTCGCATTTTAAACGGCTTAATTAGCCTGAGGGGAAATAGGAGCTATGTGAATTAAAACATTTTATTGTCCTCCTCAAAACAAGAAATTCCTGCTGTAAATGTGTCTAGATGTTGTTCAGCGTTTCTTTTCTAAAATTAGAGCATTCCAGAGGAGACAATAAAAATCACACCCATACGACCCATCCAGAGTAAAAAAAACATGGCGGATGGCACACCCAGAAATACATCAAGTCGGAACCACAAGCGGAGCGAAGGTATAGAAACATATGGCTGAATAAGGCGGGTCAGCAGACAGGCACTGAGCTCTTTGCTCAAATTATAACCTAAAATAGAAGAAAACTCCTCTCCTGGTCTGCAGAAGTTATTTGGTCCCATTTAAGTATTGGGTGGCACCTCTTTGTGGTTTAAGGCTATGGGTGCAGAGGTCCCAGATTGGTTACTGGACATCACCATGCCAAAATTAAAACGTATAAACATGTACTCAGACTGATCTGCTCGTAAGGTTTTATGAGTCAACATGCAAATATACAGCGTTTTAGTTTAACATTTTAGAAAGAAAGATTTCACCAACACTTAAAACTCTGAAGGGCGTGTCAGCTGCTGCCGCCATGCCTCCTTCTGTCAGCTCTGATCCTGTCAAGGCTTTAGGCGAGTCTCAAGCCCTATAACTCAATGTCTTGAGCACCAGCATAAAGGGGCAGGAAATAATACTCCTCTGTGACAAAAGACAACAAAACCTACTCATCATGGGATGATCTTCCTCTGTGATTAACTGCAGCAGATTGGGAGCATATTTGTGAGTTCTTATGAATCATGTTGAAACTAGCTTTTTAAAGGGTGGGGAATTCATACAGTATTAAAAGCATCCGCTTTTGTTTTAAAGTAGTTCAGGAAATATTACAGCTCATGGGGACCATAGCTTCGTCCACATTATAGACAAAAGAAGAAGCTACCGTAATTTTCGGACCATTAGCCGCACCTGAATATAAGCGGCAGAAGCTAAATTGCATTATTTGTACATAAACAAGCTGCACTGGACTATAAGCCGCAGATATTTTATGTTTAATGTCCATCTTTCTCGCTGTCGTTCTTCTCGTAACACTCGTGGTAAAAGTCTGCTTCCGGAGAACCTCCGCATTCCCCTGCGTGTGGCTACCGTACTTGTGTGTTGAAGCAAATGTGACGTCAACATGGTGGATGGTAAAATCCATAGATTTAGGTATTACCCTAGTGGCCGTTAGCTGTAAAAGTCCATAGATAAGCCGCACTGTTATATAAGCCACAAGGTCGCAAAATGGGGGAAAAAGTCGCGGCTTAAAGTCCGAAAATTACGGTAAATTAAAGACAAAAACTCAGAAATAAAGTAAATCTGAATAAGGATCTTTTGGTTCAACAAAAAAAAGGGGTATATCCATTATAAAATTTAGGGATGCTGTACCTTAATTATTAATGCCTAAACGTCCAGGTTTAGAAATTAATCAGTTTGCTTCCGTTTTGGAATCTGACAGCAGACCTCTTTGGACCAGAAACTTAAAAAGTCATGGAGTTCCTGGTTAAAGACGGTTAAAGATTAAATCCTACATCAGGGAACCCAAAATATGGCCAATCAGGTATGGGTCATTTCAGTTTGGTTGGCTAACAACAACTTTTATCTTAGTTATCGCTGGTGTTAAGGAGGAGCTCGGCGCTCTGGGTCAGATGACGCATCAAGAAATGGATGCAGGCCTCAAGCTACACAGGAGAGTTTTTGAGAAGAGCAGCCGTCCTCAGAGAGCAACTATGAGTGCTTAGTGCTGAATATTCTGCTGAAAAATATTTTCATTCATCTCAAATTAAGCTACTTGGGGTAAACGTTACAGTGATGCTTTAAAAGTGACTAATTTCCTGTCTTGTATTTAACATATATTTTTGATTTTGTTGATGATTAAATTCTAGCCACCTGCCTAGGCTTTGATATCTGTATGTCATGTAAATCAGTAAATCATGAAACATACTTCAGAGTTTGGCATCTAATTCCACATCTCAATCCGCTTTATTTTATAATCTTAATATTTACATTTTACTTCAGAAGCAGCTTCTTTATAAAACAAATTTGTTAATTTAGTAGAAATGAACTAATTATCAGTCTGTGTTTTGTTTAAAAGCTCTGATCCAAGGAGCTCAAGCTAAAGTAAAGCCAAAATAAATATACTTAATAAGTTCTTCTTAATTCTAATAAACTTGAAGATTAGCTTCGAGATGAGGTTATTTAATATAAAGGGTGTAAATTAAATATCAAATCACAGAAATTGCTCAAAAATTCTGAGTTTTCATTCTTCATTTGTTTCAACCACAAATGTTATTCATTTCGAGACCTTTCAATGCAAGTTAATATCTAAATGGGTATGCGTGTGTGCACACAACTGAGACTTCTTATGCAAATATCACAATATCAGATTGCACATCAATAATATTAAAAGACTGATTGAAAAGCAAAATTTGTGAGCTGGCATTTCCAATTAAAAATACAGCCTTTAAATGCCAATAAAATGAGGAAGGCGCACTGCACTAGATACCAACATCTCACACAGACGATAACACTGGAAAAGCTAAAGGTCACGAAGAGTTTTGGAGGTGTTCATATCACCATCTAACGTCCTACAGTTCCTTTGTCCTGAAATCAAAAGGAAAAGCAGCTGTTAATGCAGAACTGACTGCTTTTGTCAAGGATTTTTAACTTGAATGAAATCTATCACACTTTATTAAAGGAATTTTACATTTTTTAGTTTTTTTCTAATTGAGTTTTCCTACCAGACTTAAAATTTCAATTCTCACTAATGCAGGTCTATTTTCTAAATTAGTGACCAACAGACAATAAAAAAAAATAGCCAATTATCATATAAATGTCAGAATAATTCAGTTTAACTAATAATCTGGTCCTTAACAAAATTCATAGGTAATGATGGGGTCCTTTGGGAGATAATTTGCCTGATTTAAAGCAAAAGAGAGAATAATTAGGAGGTAGATAAACTTACCGAGCTCCCCAGCAGCATTCCTTCCACCGACAGCGTAGAGATGTCCCTTGAGAGCGCTGAGATGGAAGAAGGTGCGTTTCTCATTAAGGCATGCCACCTGGATCCATTTGTTGTAGCGAGGGTCATACCGGAACACCGTGTCTACTGCCGTTTTTCCTTTGGTGTCATAGTTGCTTTGGCCACCCACAACATAAAGAAAGTTGCCGATGACTGCAATACCGTGCTGGTAGCGAGGGGCGTCCATGGGAGCCAGCGCCTTCCACTCGTGAGCTTTCTCATCAAAGAGTCGCAGCTCCTTGCTAACAACGAGCTGCTGGCGCAGAACACCTCCCAATGTGACCAGGTGGGCACTGTCTGAGCGAATGGCTGTCCGTTCAGACTGCATTACCGGCTGCATGTAGGGCATCATTTGGTAATTGCTAGCTTCCAATAGAAGGTTGACACAAGTGTTGTCTGTGCGCATAAAATCCACTGTTTGTACATGATTAATGAGTTCCTGTGGGTTCATGAGGGGAAAGCGAATGTTCTTCATGAGCTTTGCTGCATATTCCATCCGGCCGTCCTCGTACCGCAACCAGCGGCAAGCAGCCTTGAACAAGTCCAACTCAGTGCAGTGTTTCAAGCTGTTGCTGGACAGCACAAAAGCCAGCCTTTCAAACGGCAGCTTGACAAACTCTCCAGTGCCAAGTAAAGAGGGGAAGTTCTTCAGGATGAAGTTGTTGACATATTTGTCCACCTCTGTCAGGTTGTATGTGTTCGCAATTCGCCCAACCTCAACGCAGTTGTCAAGCGAAACCTGCAAAACCGAGAGAAGAACAAGTCAAGACAAAATCTTGCAGTCATGCAGGTCATCAAAGAGAACATGTTGGCTTGTGATTTCACATACTTTAAAGAATTTAAACCATTAAAACATCTCATCAGGTTGTGATGAAACAAAAATGATGAAGGTAAAAGATGCATGAATCATTTTGCAGGGTGCTGTATTTACACATTTTAAATAGTCAAACTCTGATATTTTTTTCTGGTTGTCCTGGCTTTCTAATGTTCCTAAACATAAAAAAATAAAAATCAACAAAACCTTCAGAATTCTGTTTAAAAATAGGATGCAGGATTCTCTTAAGTAATTTTGCAATAAGCTCTAAAGTAATGCTTTTGTTATTGTCTTACCCCAGAAATGAGAAAAACCTTGCAGAAGTCCAACACAGGAAGGATTTGTAAGAAACTGGCAGCTTCCAGTGTGTCCTGCAGGTTCTCCATGTTGAGTGACAACTTTGCAGTGTAGATAAAGTCGATGATCTTCTTGAGGCCTATTCGATTAACTCCATGAAGCTTGATGCACATTAAATCCTGCTCTTTCATTCCACCTGCATCATGGGGTAGTAGGAGAAAAAATAATTACTGCATTGGGTCAAATTCATTACAATTATAGTTTACAGACACAGTGGCTATTTCGCTTCCTTCGACAAAAGCTAATTTTTAGAACAACTACTTAGAAAGTCTCAAAAGTTAAGAAGGACCAGCATTAAACTTTATAAAACTCCGGAAAGGGCAGATTCAAAGGTAAGTAATCTATCCATCCATCCACCTTCTTCCACTTATTCCATTAGGGTCATAGTGGGGCCAGTGCCATCTCCAGCAGTCTATGGGCTGAACACCCTGGACAGGTTGCCAGTCCAGTTAGTAATCCATTAAGCTGCAATGGTTTCTACATGGATTAACTGATCAAAACTCCAAAAGCTGAAGAAACAGCTTATAAAATATTCCTTAAAGTTTAGCCCAGATGATTCGCACTATCCAGAGAAATAGTCACCAGACAGCATAAAAGGTTCTGACTTTAAATAAGAACGTTTTGGTTGTTGCTGCATCCACCATGTTTGCAGCCCCCACAAACCCCCAGGAAATAAATAAAAGCTTATGGGGGGATGAAAAATGGTGTGGATGATCTTACAGCAATTTCAGCACACAAAGGAAGGATGGATGGATGGAGAAGGTAGCAGATAATTCTAGATAACGAACTGAAGATGAAATGAAGACTCTAGATTTCCAAACCAGGCCACAGTCCCAAACACACAGCCATTGAAAGCCTAAGAGAGTAAAGGACAAACTTGGAATGGTCTGGGTCAGCAGACCTGTGCCATATTGAAAATCTATGAAAAGCACCATTCAGGGCCCATAACCTCAGTTATTCCATACAGAAGACATTGTTGAAAAAGCGTTTTCTACAAAGCATGAAGGGCATTCTAGAAAGCATATTCAATGTCAATTCCTTTTGAACGTCCAATTTTCTTTTACCGTTAACTTGGTGTTAACTGGTGTGAATATTATGGCCCCATTAGAAAAATCATAAACGTGCTCAATACTTATTTTACCTAGTTTATGTTATTGGGTTGAACAGTGTGAATGTATTGCATTTGGATATAAAATCCAACCTAATATTACAAGCCTTCATATCATTATTAGAGGTCTGTGCAGGTTAATTAAAACATAGCTTTGCCATACAGTCATAAATATGCAACACATTTTTAATCAATCAGAATAATTTTGAATGAATTTGAGCATAATTTATGCATGTGTCATTTCTAAGTATTTCATAGCATACCACTTATAAATATCCACTCAACCTTGCAAAAATGGAACATAGTTCGGGTTTTTCATGTGGCAGCAAAAACTTATACCAATACAAATCTCAAATTTTTAATTATCTTTTAACAATCTTGATTTAAAGTACGTCTAATGTCATTAGCTGAACCTAAATAAGTGACAGGTCTGTCACTTCTCAAACATGAACCATTTGAATCATTATGTTGGTGACTTGATAAGAGTGTACGGGTTGGAAAAGCTTCCATGGAGAACACTGCAACCTGCAAGAGGAAAAAGTTAAGATGTTAAAAAGCTATCAATCATAGCTTAATTAACGAATGTCTACTAACTTTCCATAAGGTGGGGACAGAAAAAGAGGATAAAATATCATATTCAGACAATTCATAACATGACATGATTTATGCGGTCTGAACTCCAGCACTTGGTGAATGATTAAAATCAGTTAAGAAAACCATTTTGAATCCTTTTTAACTGTGACTGACAAGAAACAGCAACTGCAGATCTGTGTTGCAAAGAAGCTTGGATTCATCTTTACTCTCCTTGCAGCTTTAAAAATGGCTAAATCAGGCAGTGGAACTGCACAATTTATCGATTATATATCTAGCTCATCTGATGTGCATTAATACAATTGCAAGGATCTGCTTGGGTGCAATATTTAGGCGGTTAAAATATCTCAGCTGCAATGCAGATAACATCTGTGTTCGTTGATAGACCTTCACTGATGACCAGACCAAGGTGAGCAAGAGCTTAAGGCAGTGTTTGTGTGGGTATATATATCCTTTGGGAAAATTAGGGTTAAAATCTTCTTTGCAATTCCAATATTTAACAAAAGCTTTGCAATATCATAACTCCTTAATGCTTTTCAGCCCTACTGCAGTGTTATCTGTGGATCAGAGTTTTCCTTGGAAACGCAGATTGAGTTATTGTCACCACCCACAAATGTGTGAAGCTATGCGGACACATATAGATCAAGCTATAGCAGCTATACATAGCTATGGAACCAGCTCATTGTGCTCATATACGGACAATGTAGAGAGAACAGAAGGCTGCAGATCAACACACAGCATGACGGGCACCGCTCAGTCTGGGTCTACTTTACACTAAAACTAAGCAGATAAAAATGCCTGAAATTTAAACGAATAAAAACCTGACAACATACATTATTGCTATATATATTTAAGTTATATAAGGCTATATAAAGGGTTTTGAATCGGATTTCTGTGAACTGAATAAATTTAAACTACTGTTTGAATTTCTTGCTCACAAAGTGTATAAAAATGAAAAGCTGACTACTTAAGCAAATAGTTTGAATATTTATATTTAAGTATTAACAACTTAATATTCTAAAATTTAAACGTTCATGTCTGAGGTATACAATGGTGTGGATTAACATACATCTAGGATGCATATAACCATCAGGCTGGTCGTATATTTATGTTTAGAAAGCAGAGCTTTTCTGTCTGGGGAAATTCTTTAAGGCAACATTTTCTAATAACTGGCACTATATAAATTAACTGTACTGTTTTAATTGCACTAATCTACATAGTGCAATAGGATAACCATCTGTCACCATTAACAAAACTATTAAGGATAAAGTATTTAAAAGTGTATCCATGAGGCCCAATTTCCAGTTTAAATTGATCTCCAAGTTTAACATCAAAGCCAGAAAAACAAACAGTTCAGCCAATCAGAGAGAATCTAAGTATATGACAGGAACCAAAGACACGATATATACGTTTAAAGGACGTTTGAAGTTCTGTTGCTGCTGAAATGTCTGTTGAGCAGAAGGTAAATACACCAAAACATTTATTTCTCTATGGGGAAACAATTACAAGGAACATCAATGCAAAATAATGACTAATACATTAACTGGGAGTCATTAAAGAAAACAAAACAAAAAAACAAAGGGAACATGCATACATTATGTGCATTTGCTTATTTGTGAGCATATTCTCTGGTTTATAGGACCCACCTGTGAACATAGCTTTGAAGTAGTCGGAGGATGAGGCCATCATTGCACGATGAACAGGAAAAGCTTCATCGCCATCCCCAGCAACCAGCGTCACGTCACACAGCAAACCTTCTATTCTCAGCTGATCAAATCCCTAAATCCAAAAGGGAAGGGAGGTGAGAGTTATACGAGCAGCAGGAAGTGTTTCTGGCTTCAGCTTAGGGGGCCTAAATTAAGTAGTGCCCCCCCTTTCCAGTGACTCCTTAGCTTAGTCAATAACAGACCAAGAAGATCACGTGCTAACCGAAGCTCCTGGTGACTGAAGTAAATTTAACTCACCATTTCTGTCATCTCCCAAGAGAATTATTGACATTGCACTAACTTATGCACACTTGTTTTTTTCTATCTACTGTATCAAATGAAACAAGGGTTTTGGTAGATCGTACAAACAGCCTGAAAACAACTCAGTGTTCGAGCAACATAAACCACTATAATCACTGGAGAAAATATGCATCAAAACTCGTCACTAGAAATAGATTCCAGGATCAGGAGGTAAGATAGGCTTAAACAAATCATTATAATCCCCCTATTGTGCTTTGACAGCAAAAGATTAATGAATAGCAAAGAAAAAAGGCAGACAGCTTCTAATTTAGAAAAAACACTGAAGACCAAGGACAACCACTGCAGCAAAGATCATGGTCCACCACATTTTCAGACTGTCCTTCATTTCACCCACATACAGGGTTACCCATCAATATGAAAAGACAACCAGATAAAAAAATAAATAAATAAATCTAGCCTTTAGTTGGGAAGCATTTATTCCCAAAAAACACACCAGTAGAACAATTTATTTAAAATGTACAAAAATAAAACACCTAATGAAATGTAATTGAAGCAGAGTTACATTAGAGAAATTTATACTTTCATTTTGAATGTTCACTGCTACCATGGGGTCACCAAGTCTCCATGACAACCATTAAATACCATTTACATGCCAACCAGTTCAGGAGTAATATCAGAAAAGAAAGTCTTAACGCCTAACGACAATAAAAGGTAAAAAATGCAGAGAAAGGATAGAGTCTGACTAAAACAGAGCTTTTAAAGGAAAAAGCATATATGTAATAAAGGTCCTCTTATCCAGGTACGGTGGTGGATCTGTGATTCAAACCCATCTTAAACCAAATTCAACATTAACAATGAATAGCAAAAAGAGACGAAATGAATGCTCTTCATGTGATTTTTAGGCACGGCTTCTGAAAGCACTGATGTCTCAGCGAATGCAAGCATCCAGCGGACGTTGCAAGACAAAGTAAAAAAATAGCAAATATATGTCAAAATATCAACTGGCTGATGTTTCAAACTACCTCTACTTTACATTCCTTTTAAATAATCTTTTAGGAGATGTTTGCATTCTTTTCTCAAAGGTACAGGCCTCTTTGTTGAGAAAAATAAAATGTAAACCTAAATCTGCCTGTTCTACAGTCTGACAAGTATGCATGCAGATATTGTAGATGAGGCAGTCATTTTAAGATTATGCATCGTTTCTATCTATCGTATAATGTAATACAGAGATCACTGCCTCTCAACCAACAGTCAAATAAATCCCCTAATTAAACCTGCTGTAATTAAGAAGGAGAATTAATTTGCATAATTTTCTTGCATAAACCAGAGAGTGTGCTCACCTGAAGAACCACAGAGCTGTGCGTATTGCTAGTGAAGAATCGCGTGTTTCCGGTCTTCGATGCCTGAAGGTGAGCCGGGATGCCCATTTCCCCATAGCCTAGAGCGACTTTCATGTGAGGGTCGTCGTCCTCCACGAGGGATCTGAGAGAGAATAATACATCTTAAGCCTTAAACTCTTGAAACAACAACAAAAAAAAAAAGTTGACGGGCTACAGAAACATCAACGGAATCCCATCCCGCTTTTCAGTACAGAATAAAAAGGTCCCGTTTTTGATCCTCTCAAAGTTTCCATCTCAGTCTCATCCTCACTCAGTTTTAAGTTGTTCTCCTTCTCCTGCTACACATTACCACTCTAATGGCAGGGGTCCCTTTAACTGCACACCAAATATCAAAAGACAAACAAATAGGCAGCCCATTTGCTCAAACTAGCGACACAAGCCTGAGGTAACTGTTGTAGTAAAAGGTTTTCCAATCTGCAAAACTCTTTAAAAATGTGTATGATTTTTATAAAAGCATTAGTTGGACAAACAGCCCTTTAGAAAGACCTTTATTTCACTGCGTAAACAGTATAAGATCAACATAATTTACTTTAATGTGCACCTTTAAAACCATTTGCATAAAGAATTAAAAAAAAAAAAAAACAGAAACATAACAGCATGGTTTAAAAAGTAGTTTGAATAATTTGGGCTAGATGACATTTCCCTGGGGAAAAGTAACTATGAGAATCCCTATATGGGATTAACATTTCTTCATTTAAAATTACATAGTCATAATACATGACATTTTAAAAATGTATATGCCAACTCGCTCCGGTTGCATACAATGCTTGTTCTCAAAAAGGACCACATCCTGCTGGCTTACTTTCTTTACTTTTGTGTTTTCAACTTTGTTTGCTCAATTTTTTAGTAACTAAAGATTGATAGATTGTAATAACAGCACTGCTTGACCTGAGAAACGATGCTGTGCATATGCATGGTGGATAAACAAGGAAGTAATGGGACTAAGCAAATTAGCACAACATCGTATTTTAGAAAATAATAAATAAAAGTCCAACATCCAGTGAGAAAAACAAAAGCTAAAGCTGTGGAGGATGTTGACTGAACCTTCTTATGAATACGTATACAAGAGAGAGCAACACTATTCTTTTGCTACGTTCAGCCCTTAAGTGCTGGAAAAAGCATAAAAAGCTTCTGCTGCTTCATTTTCCATGCTTGTACACATTAGGAACTATCGGAGGGAAAACTATATTATAAATGGATCGATTAAAAAAACAAAACAAAAACAGAGCAGGTGTGTGTGTGTAGGGTTTTCTATCACAGCTGCTAGAAACCAGAAGACTCCTCCAGATCCATTTCAGGTTGGCCCTTAGACCACGCCGAGGACACGCTGAGGCAGAGGACAGTCTGGCTCTATTAGGTAGCTGTCATCTTCATTTCTCATAGCGTTTCTGCCAGCAAATAGTGCACACATTTGTTTGTGTCTTATCATTGCACCTGGTTCTGGAATTCTATTTAGGCTGTAAAACGACTATCAAACTGCATCAGGATGGATGCTTTATTTGTTTAACCTTACTTAAACAAGGCCAAATGTTTTTCCTTTGTCTTTGTACAGGCCTACAATATGACAATGCCATTTTAAATCCAAAAAGGGTTTCTCCAAATACCATAAGTTACCCATTTTCTATCCCTTATGAAAACTACAAAATCAGGCAGCTTTTCAAATCCATTTTTGATAAGTTTATTAATTCAACAGATGATTGCAGAAGAGATCACAGACACACACCGATGGACAAAAGCTTCCTAAAAAGTACAGCCTCCTTGTTCTTTCCCTTAGACGACTTCATGGTTGCATCCTTTGTTCAGGTAAACACCTGGGTGTTTATACTCCTTCACTTCTTTTCCTACACTGGTAACATTGTTTGATCCGTTTCTGTTTCCCATGAAATTTTTGATATTTGATCATCATAGTAGTGCTCTTTTACCCTGACTTTGTTAACGAATTAAGAAATAACTATTAGAAAATGATGGCAATAATGTCTATTCTAAAAGCAGTGGAAATAAAATCTGTTTTTATTGTAATTAGCCATGATACAAATGGTTTTTATTGCTCTCAAACTGTTCACACTGAGCAAATGTCTTAGTCGTCTCGTTAAATATTGCTATGCAGCACCCTTCAGCAAGCATCGCCTTCTTAAGAATTTAATTAAATGAAAAGTCTAATTTGAAAGCTCTCGTTTTAGAAAGAAGAAAGTGTGAGAGGTGTGATGATAAACCTACCATACTGCTGCCGTTTAGCATGTGGCAACACCTCGGACTCCAGCAGAATACTAATGAGCCATGAAGCGCACTCTACAACTAAACTATTTTTTTAAAGAATTTATATTTTTTAAATTCTTGTGACTGAAATGTGTGGTTAACATGCAAGGATTTAACATCACAACAAAGCTGTTTAAAATCCAGTAAAGGCCTTTTGGGTCTAAAGCAGTGATATTGCTGTGTTTTTCATAATCCACAGGTTCTTGTTTTCCATGACGGCATTGCAAAAAGCATTTAAAGGGATAAAGACTGTGATCCCAGTAAGAACTCAATATGTGATGTAACCTGCTGCAAAGTCTAACTGCTCCTCAGAGATTAAATGTGTGAATATGATCATACTGTTCCGGAGGGACTATCCTCCTCATTACAGTACGTACAAAACAAGAAATAAAAATGTATAAACAAACAATCTGCTAAATGAAGTTAATTTTTCTTCTAAAAAGGAACCCAAACAGGTCGACCTTTGCCATGGCTGTTTAACTGATTTTTTAAAATAAAAGTCACATTTTAGTTGAGTAAGAAAATCCTTTTTCTGAAAGCAAAAAAGCTAAAAAGGATGAGCTTATGAGTTTAATTTTTAAAGCCAATTTAAAAAGGTTATCCATTAGCTTGTTAACAATTTGCTTAGAAACAATGTATTTTCTCAATAAAAGGTTTTTCAAACAGGACGTGTATAAAAAGTGGATAAAAACCAAGCTTAAATTATTACAGCTATTCCCAAAGGAGCTCATAGAGATAACAGTAGTCAATGAATGTTGCATGGTGGTTTTCAAAGTGTTCATTTTCATGTGAAGATTGGCCTGGTTTCCATTAAACATTCTCAGCACAAATGACTTGCTCAGCAGGGTTTTAAATGGGAGTCTTCAAACAGGCCTATGAGCAGGCAGTGTTCGTCAGATGCTAGAGACTAATGCTTTTTGAATGGACTATTTATATAATGAAGTAATTTAAAATCCTCGCCTGGTTGAACAGTTGAGAGGGATTCTGAACACTGTAAGAGGTTCTCTGTACTTTTAAAGAGTTATTTATTCCCTTTAGATGCAAAGAGGGTTACTGTTAAAGCCACTGGAATTATTTTTATTGGTATCGGACGACTTGAAATGTCAGAATAGGACTATACAGTATATTTAAGCAATATATCCCTTTGGCTGTGCCCCTTCCACTAGCTGCACAATGCAGTGGAGGTAGCTGAAAATCAGTTGGTACATCAAAGTATGAAAAAAAAAAAAAAAAGGGGCACCCCATTTTACTATCATAAGAGTTGTTCCATTTTCAAAGTATACTACCTTGGCATCAGCTTGTTATTGTTGCCTTATTCTGGAAGAAGCAAAACAACATAACAGTATTTTGGGGAGGGTTACTTTCACATTAGTTGGAAATTAAAAAGAAAAGCATTAGTAATTGTTGTAGGGATGTGGAGAAAATCATTGCCAATATTCCGATCAAAGTCGTCATCTAGGAAATGCTAGCTACAGCCACACCACATCGTGATGAGAACGGGTAATCTGTTTATAATAAATAGGTTTCTGTCTGTTGCTACTGATGGTGTTAGATGTAGGAATGACCAATAAAACATCTTGTGATAGACACTAATATCGATGTCAGAAAACATTTTCTTATTTTCATAAACTTGAATCGAGAACCACATGGCATTCTGGGGAATAGAGGCTAATATGAAAGCATATAACCTCTCCAAATTACACGCCCAAGCTAAGCAAGCTTAGCGACAGGGCTCCAGAAGCCCTAGTTGGACTGTTTTATAAGAAGGCATCGTAGTGAGCAGAGTTTCTAATTGAATTTCATTTACAGATCATAGTAACATACTGCGATATCAAAAAATATATTGTCATTCAAATAAATTGATGTGAAACATCACGATAAAGACAGTGATTTACACCCCAATTATTTAGTCGGTAAAAAGAAATGAAAAATATTTCAGAATTGAATTAACCTTGATAAATAAAACGGGGATTAGGAAGGGAAAAAAACCTTTTTGCAAGTTTGTATTGCGATCCTCCAAGGTAATCTTAAAGATGTAGAGTGATGTTTTTATTTTCGTGATACATTTTTATTTTTTCCATAGGCCAGTAGTTATCTTTGGTTGACCACATCCTGCTTACTTACAATTTGTTATTTATTAAACTTTTTTAAGTAAATCAAGCTCTCTCTGTACATTTACAAAAACAATGGATTTATTATACTGCACATGTGTGCAGAGAATGAATTAGAGAGAGTAAAGAGTTAGGACCTCCCAGTAAAGCAGGGAAGCAATAAAAGAGCTAAAGATCCAGAGTTAAATAATGCAAATGAATATTTGATTCCAAGAGGAATACAATCCAAATGGTGCTGGGAATACAGTGAGAATGATGTTCAGTGAAGCAGTAGCTAAACCTGCTGGAGATAGGGCACAGGCCCCACCACAACCCTGACAAGGACTAAGCTGGAGAAAATGGATGGATGGACATTTGACATGCTTCACTTAACATTCAGAAAGGTAAAAAGAATAAAAAAAAACAAAAAAACACAAAGATGCAAATTGTACTTCCACAAGAGGTAAATAAAACCCAAGTAAAAATATGTAGTCTGACTAAATGTGCTCAAGATCTGCTACAGACAAGATGGCCAACACTTAAATGTGGGACTGGTTAAAAGGTCATGTCTCACACAGAGATGGGGATGATTTACTAAGTCTAACAGGAGCTTTTGGACAACACTACCACTAGACACTGATACAGCAGTCACAATCACAGTGACACAGAGTACAGGCAATGCACTTGAACAATTACCCCGTCAGGTGGTAAGTCGGAGTGAGGAGAGAGTGGGTTGTCCAAACCATAAAGGAGTGTTGCTGGCTGCCGGGACGGAAACAAGAGAGACAGAAGCTACAGTTCCAGCATCAATTATATGCTTTCCTTAATCGGACACAAAACGGTTTATGAAAGATTGAAATAATCTATAATTATGTCTATGGATCAATATCAGCGATACAAATATGATCAAAACATGACAAAATGTAGACAAATTACCGTGCAAAACACAAAATTCGCACCCTATTATTAGATTTGGTTAACCCTGCCTAAAATTGAAATGTGATGGTTTAAAGCAGCCAACATCATTAATTGAATGTGGAACACACCAAGCAACCAACATCTTCCAAATAATGTAGTAAGATTTTTATGGTAGCTAACGTTTTCGCAATAAAGTAAGATGTTTTTCAGTTATTGTTAAAAGTTATTAAAAAAACTTAATGCAATAGCCAGTTTAGAAACATTTCATTATCATAACTTTAGCTAGTAATAGGGTTGTCAAAAGTATCGATACTCAAAAAAGTATCGATACTGAAACGTTGTATCCGGATACAATACTCATTTTCAAAAGTATCGATACAGCCATCTAAAGTGCAGAATAGTGGAAAATGCATTTTCTGAACACTGTGTGATTGAATAATTCTGTGCATTTTTCAGTTTCAGACTTTTTTTGTAACAGGTGCAGCTGCTAAGAATTATTTTTGTTTCTTAACCAGTTTGGCTAGTGTCATTGTTATGTGTGCAAAACATAGCCAAGGAAAGAACACTTAATTTTAATTTTGTAAGTTTTTTATCAAGCTTGCTTAATATTGTGCACAGCATATTGTTTTTTTTATTTGATTCTTGTATTTTTTTTAGTAATGAAAATATTTCTGTTGAATTTTAGAGTCTTTGTTTTGTGGTATCGAAAATGGCATCGAGTATCGAATATTTTACTTAGTATCGGTATCGAGTTGAAAAGTTTAGTATCGTGACAACCCTAGCTAGTAATGATATAAACATAAACAGGGCTGCAGTTTCTGGAAATTGATGATCTTTTGCCGTTTTTGTGCACTTTGTTCAACAAAAGTAGGTTTGGTACGATACCTTTACCATAAAAATATCTCAATAATATTACCTATGCAGCGATTTGACATTTCTCTTTTTTCTCAAGATGTTTCTTTAGAATATTGCTCAGGAATTTGGTTATATGGTCGTGTTTTTATCATGTTTATTACAGTTTCTATACTTTTTATATTATACAAAGAAAATTTATATATAATATATTAGCGAAGAGTTGTGCAAATGGTTGAAATACTTATAAAGTTACTGCATTAGGGATTTTATTTAGGTTATTACTTCCCTGACAGGTGTTAAATTTTTGGTTTAAAATAGATTTTCATTTAATAAAAATTTAATAAAAGCCATACTTTAAAATGTTGATAGAAGGATAGACAAATGAACAAAACACTAATTACTTTTTCTTACAATAGTTTAATCTTTGAAATGATAAATTGTTTAAGCCTTATCTAACCTAGTCATCTCCTAGCCTAAATGTAAGTAAACCACCTTAAGAGCATATTTACTGTATGAATTCAATTTAAGAACATTCAGCAAATTAAAGCTTTTTTTTCTGATCGTATGTTTTTGAGTTTAGCTTAAAACAAACAAACAAAAAAAAAATTTTAATTTACAAACACTCATCCAATTTGTAGCTTTTTTGTTTTGATTAAATCCAACACTTTATTAATTTATTCAAAAGGTATTCTCAAACATGTCCTTTTAGCTTTGCTAAAATAATTTAATTAAAACAACATTTCTAAAGCAAACTTTTTAAATTTATGTCGATTCAAATTGAAAGGGTCATATTTTGTTCAGATACTGTTCCTGGGTTAAAGAGGGACAAAAAAAACAATCAAATAAAAAAATTTAAAAAAAGAACACTTGCCAAATCGACTCCAACACCAAGGTCAAAATCAAATCTCAGACCAGGATGATCGAAGAGGAATTCTTGGCATCTCAAAAATGATGCTGATAGTCCCTGTATGAAAACGTGTCCTAAAAGACCTTGGGAAGAAATTCTCCCTCATCTGGTTCAAAGATCTTTAGAAACAACTGAGGAAAGAAAGCTTTCCCTCCCTAATTTATTGGAAATGCATTTACTCTTTTATAAATTTACTAAATATGAAAACATACGTTTTCCAACTGAGTTTTCTACATTTAGACAGCAGAGTTAAGGAACGTATAACCCAGCAGGAGAAAACCCCCAACAATCAAGAGATATTGCAAGTCGTGTTGGAGAGGAAATCCCCATTTGTCTCTTTATCGGATTAATAAAAGGCTCTGATACTGAAAAGTCCTTTCAATCACTGACAACAGAAAAGCAATAAAGCAACGTGCTGACCAACCTCTGACCAAAGAGAAACACACAACTCATGTCAGCAGTGTTGAAGGACAGTTTACCATGATTTGATTGAACGGTGCTGTCGGCAGGTCACTTTCACCGGTGTTATAAGTCCTAAAAAACAAGGTAGTTCCACAGAGAGCTATGAAAATGGTGCAAAGCTGTCTACTGTTAATGAAAATGAATGCTTCATATTCCTTCTATAATACACCTTTGAGGAATATAAGGATGGTCTGATTATCGTTCGTTAAGGTCTACACAATTGCTCCAAGAAAAAAGCAAACAATTATACTCAATATAAAAAAAATTGTAACCTATGGGTGGATTATCTCAATTTATTGACTTATTTATTGTAATCTACAATGTTATATGGGGCTACAACTAACATTATTTTACTTGGCGATTAATATGCTGACTAGTCAATTAACAAAAAACTGGGGTAGAAAAAGGTGCTCAATATAAGTTATTAACAGAATCTGAACAGGGTGATGCTAAAAATTAGATTCCTAAGGAGTTTTGGGCAGAGCATAATTACAGATAAAGGTTTTAAAGTTTAATGCAAAAATTATTTGTCGTTTGTGCAGTTCTGGCATAAGTGGACAGAACAGCCCAGTTCTAAAGTCCTTTGCATGGCTCCCCCCCGCATCTCGGTGAACAGACTTTAAAATCACTAAATGGCTTAGCTTCAAAATACATTACAGACTTGCTGTCAGTAGACCAACCACCCAGTATACCCAGAACAAAATTGCATCAGCAAACAAGAAGCAGATTTTAGTTCTATTGCTCCACTAAATTTGTTCAAACTCCCAGAAACTCAGACGGTGAAACCATAGTTCTTTAAATCAAGGTTAAAAAAACTTTTTGGATTGGACTTCGACTGCGTCATCTAAACACATCACTTCCCCCTCTTAGTTTATGAATCTGTTTTATATCTTTTTTTTTTTTTTTTTAACAATAATCATTTTAATACTTCGTTTATTTCTTCCTACCATACCACTACAGTGTACTTTTCTCTAAACGTTCCCCATCATGTGTTGTTTATATGCAACACTTTGAATTGTTTTGTTATTAAAATATGGTGTAAAAATAAACTTTGTCTTAATTATTGCTCTGACTGATGGTTTTTCTGCAAAGTGCAGAGTTTGTTTGTATCTGTATAATCCACATAGCTTCAATAATCAGTCACGCCAGTGAGTAATTTTAGCTTATATTTTTACTCATTAAAATAATCGTACCACATTTGTGAATTTAGACTTCTGAGTCACTCTCTATATATCAGTTTTATTTATTTACTGTTCAACACTTGATGCTGCAACATCAATACAGGATATATTCAGGGCCTTGTGGAATCTTATTTGCATTTGATCTGTCTTTTTGTGTTTAAATTTATAGAATAGTAGGGAGGATTATGGGAAAAAAAAGTATTCCTCAATATATTTCTAAAAAATCTTAGCATCTCAAAAATAACATAGTAAATACATTCACTCTCTCTGGTGTACTTTTATTTATTTATTTTTTTTTAAAGTTTCAATATAACCGTTATGTCAAGAAACCCTATTTAAGAAAATGGAAATGAGCCAAAATCCTGTTATTTTTAAAAGAAAAACAGCTTCAGAAAGAAAAAAAAAGCTGCAGCCAAAATAAACAGTCTCAAAAAATAATGTAGGGAAAAAAAAAAAAACTTTTTCTTTTGCAAAAGCAAATGCTATTATAAATTAGTGGATAAGAAGAGAACATTTACTTTAAGACTGAATCCAGAATCTGAGCAAAGTAGTGGGAGAAAAGCAAACCCCATAAGAAAATGAAAAATATCAGCAAAACAGAAGCCTGTATTCACATGAGCAGAGGAACAGCTCTGCATACAAAGGAGCTTAATTTGTCACTCCGCAAATAGGGATGCTCGATGAGTAGCAGATCATGTTATAATCACGTAGGTCAGCATTATTATAGTTTATTTCCATATTTAATTACCCCAAATGTTCTGGCAGGGCACACCTGTCATTATACGAGGCTAATTATGACCTCAGAGTGTGCAGCTATGCAAGCGCCATACCAAAAAGTACCAGGCATTAGTCCTTAATGAGGAGGGCTACAAGAAACTTAACACCTCCTTGAAACACAAACAAGAAAAGCGAAGGTAGTTTGTGTCAACATTTGCTGTAGATTTGAATTTGGTTTTTAAACTAATATATACATGCATACACACACACACAAACACACAGAGGTGAATGTATATAGAAAGAAGTGACCAGCTATTTTCATTTCCTTTTTTTCTTAGCTTAATATTCTCTAAACTAAGTGCTGCTATTCATTAAACCAACTCTACTTCAGATCTGTGGGATTTTAAAAGACTTCTGGCTTCACTATGCTGGTGCTCTGCTATTCATATTGAAACATGAGCCATCTGATGTAATAGACTCGATATGAAAGACTTAAACCGGTCCTCTATGATGCATCATCTGCTTTATTTTCAATCAGTTCTGATAGATCTGGGCTGGTAAACTATTTTCTGTGAAAGCAAACTCCATTTCATCATAAATAGATTTGAAAAGGATAGTGTGTGTTAATGTGTATGAGGGGAGTACCTGAGTAAACCCACTTGAGACTGTCTGTACCTACCCCTAGCCTTTCAATAAAAAAAATAAAAATCCCCGTGCACTTG